AATCCTCCACAAAGCTTCAAAATGTATGTAAAATCGGTCGGCTTTGAAACTATCGGGAGCTGAAGGGAGGGGGAAGGCGCTGTTAACTGTGACAGAATTCAATAAGTGGACTCATTTTTTTAGGGTTGCATTAATAACGAAGTATATAAAATACCTTCAACAACAAGGGATATAAAAAATAGAATCCGAATTGCATTTCAAAATATTTCTTTACAAATGCTTAGTAATGTAAGTAACTCTTTCAATGACCGCTTTCAAGTATGCATAGATGTTTTGGGAGGTCATTTTGAACACCTTACTTAAGTATGATTAGTTAAAATTACAGTTGTTTTTTATTTTTTTATGCGTTGTTATTTTTTTTATTTTCTGTCGGTTATTTTTTATAAATTTTATTTGAAACAAATTGTTTTCTTTTCTGTGTCGTTATCTCGTTACTGAATTAAAAAACAATAATGTCAAACGGTCAGTTTCTGACAAATCAGTTATGGCCAACTCCCAATAATTATTGGTAAAAGTTCAAATATCTAGCAAATTAATACTTATCTAGAAAATTTATAACTTTAGGTATAGGGAGTATTCCATAAGATATAAAGTACGAGATTAGTACTTTTCGATAGTGACTTAAAATACAGGGTGTTCTATTTAAAATTATCAAGAAAATAATGTGCTTGCATTTTGACTTACCCTGTATTTAAATTAACAAAAATTATGAAAACGAATATGTTTTACAATTTTTAACAATTATTAAAAAACTATGGTTGCAATAGATCAATGGTCCTATAATCCTTTTTAATGATACAGGGAGTTAAACTTGATACTATTTTCAGGTAATATTGGTTATAACTTTTTAAATATCCGGTATAACATAATAAAACTTTACATTATTGTGATGTGTAAGTGAAGCAGATTTCAAATTTAAAATAAAATACAGGGTGTTTTATGTAAAAAAACATAAGTTTGGTCTGCCACAATCTTATAGAACACCCTGTAAGATTGTAACTAATTTTAAAATGTGGAGTTTAAAGCTGTCTAAAATTTTTGTCAATAATTTTTTTTGAGATTTTTACTATAACAGATCTACTGAGTTTCCTCATACTAATCAATGACCCAAAAGAGTTATCAGAAAAATTTTCTACCAAGTAACGAAAAATAAAATTTGATTAATTTATTAATGTTCTGCATTCTGAGAAAGATTTCCGAAGTAGAAATCGAAACATCAAAAATAAACTTATTATAAACTTAAATTGTGGCTTATTTCCCAAAATATAGGAAATGACAAGTACTTCTGTTTTACATTCAAACTAACTTAAATACTACTAAAAAAATTAAAAAAAATTGTTTTTAAACACATTAGGTGGTTTATTTGAAAATTTATTTATTGAAATAATGCATATTCGTATTGTAAGCAAAAAGTACATACAAGTTCAAAAAGAAACGTTGAAATACATAAAAAAGGAACAGAGATACAGTTAACAGCGCCTTCCCCCTCCCTTCAGCTCCCGAGACTTTTAAAGCCGACGGATTTTGCATATATTTTGAAGCTTTGTGGAGGATTCCATTAAAGGGCAATAATTTTAAAATTTAGTAGTTTAAAACTATGATGTATATTCTTTCAAATAGCGCTAATTAGATTTCTTAATTGTTATAAACAAAGGTGCTATGAATTAAATAAAAAAAGAGGCTAACTTTGTACCAAATTATTTTAGGACAAACTTTTTTTTATTTAAATTTGTGAAAAAGTTCAAGCTTTTTAAATATGTAAAAACAATATTTTTACAGTCAATGGTTAAAATGTTATTCTAATTGTTTATAAGCAAAAAATTGACATGTGTTTGCAAAATTATTTTGCAATATTTAAAATAAATTTTCTTAATTTTTTTTTAAAGTAAATAATAAAACAAGTCTTCTTCTACCAGAAACAATCCTTACAATTTCTAAAACTGTATGAATTTCTGACTTATATTGTTGCAAAAAATGTTAATTTGGGATAAACAAATAAAATAACTTTTACACTATTTGACCCATCACTTTGAAATTTTAACCCTATTTTAAGCACTAAAACACACATCATTTCATGAAATATAAATATTATAAGTTTATTTTCAAAAAAGTTATTAACATTTATAAAAAACCGAAGTTTTTGACTTATTTTGCAACTTTCTAAGCAACAAAATAAGGATAGAAACATTTTGAAAACGCCATTTTGAAGGTTTTTAATAACTTATAAGTTTCCTCTCTTCTAAAATTTGTTTAAATTGCTTCACTTTTTGCTGATAGCCTAAAAAAGCAAAAATTTTCCGTTTTTTGAACTTATTTTGTTAATAACTAATTTAGTCCAAAAAATCGACTGCAGGAAACATATAGGTTTTTATTACAGAGGTCCACACTACTCAAAACAACTGTCGTTTGCCTGGCCGGACGAGTGTCAAAAACAGGGTACTTTTTTTGCTTATTTCCCTGGCCTACTGCGATTATACTTCCCGTTGATATTACAGAAATGGAAGCGTTTATTGGTTGCTCTTGCTCTTAGCAAGGAGTATTTTAATCTGGATACGAGTATTTACATTCAATTTGAGCAACTGATTGAACAGACCTCGATCTATTTCAATGTACAGTGACACTAATAAGATTGTCCTTATATTATCCCTTATACTGTTATGTCTCCGATTTAATGATGGTTTGACAAGAACTGAAAAAATAAGAGACACTAAATTGGCCCCAATAATTATTATATTTTAACAATTTGTACCAAAGGGTTTCTAAAACTACTCACCTGGATATTTTTTTACTGTTGATGAAATGCTAGTTCCATTCAAGGGATGACAGGGCTTTAAAATTTACATTTCGAATAAGCCAACTAATTATAGCTTAAAAATTCCAATTTTTTTTGGATTTCAAGACGGATTACATGTACAAATTAGTAATATACATTGGCAAAAACTAAAACATAACTACAAAATTACACTTTTCTGATCCTACCGAAGTGGTTTTACGGGTTACTCAACCAACTCATGGTAAAAGACGTAATGTGACTGGCAATAACTGAAACATTTCGGTGGAAATTAAAAAAAAAACAGGATCTTACGTTGGCACAATTAAAAAAAAATAAACGCCAAATTCCGCCAGAATTTCTTCCTCGAAAAAAAAAGGACATATGATTGTTCTTTGTTTGCATTCACTTCTGATATTATCATGGTATCTTATGTACATAAGAAAGGCAAAAGTGTAACACTGATACCTACAATACACCATGACAATGGTGTTGATAAGAGAACAAACAACCTGACATCATTTTATTTTATAATTCGACAACGGCCGGTATTGATGAATTTAATCAGAAATGTGCCAATTATTCTGTAGCTCGAAGATCACAATGATGGCTAATGGAAGTATTTTTTCCTGTTGTAGATATTGCAGGTATTAACGCCAAAGTGTTACATCAGTTTGTAAATAAAGGAAATAAAGGAAAGAGAAGAATATATAACTTCAATATACCCCGACAAATGCGAGCTATTGCGGCATATATTCTTGGCACTAAATTTTTAAGTGTTTCTCAAACCAATGAGAATAAAAAAAGAAAGAGATGTCATTTCTGTCCAGTCAAAAGAGACAGAAAAACAAACTATGTTGGCACATATTGTAAAATGCTTAAATGAGTATGCAAAAAATGCAAATAATAACTTCAATTTTTATTTAAACCATCTATGGCAGTTCGTTTTTTAAAATTAGTTTATAAATAAAAAAATTTCTTTTCTTTATATAAAAAAATGGGTCTTAAAGACCCACTTATAATACTTAGGTAATTACTTTTAACTTATAGCAGTTCAGGGTTGAGTATGTTTCTGCATTATTTGTACCTACTTAAACGTTTATGTGTGGGTGAGCGTTCATATGTTATGTTTGTGTGTTGTATGTGTATTGTGTATAATTAAGTATGACGTTTCTTAGTATTTCTTATTCGGGTATTGTTGGTACATTCTTGTTGTCGACGTCTTCTTTTAGTATTGGCAGTGAAAACCTGTCGCATGCTGCTGATACGATTGTTACAGTTTTTTTTAATAAGTAGGATGATTGCGGCTTCTTTTAGTTTTTTTTGTCTATTTCCTACAAGAATATTGATGATCTGTCAAAGCTCCTGTTTTTTATGTATGTTTCATGCTCGTTTATCCTGACACTTAGTGGTCGTGCGGTTTCCCCCACATTAAAATTGTGGCATGAACATACCACAAGATAGCAGTTTCAGAACATAACCATAGTTTCTAGCTTATTCTTAATAGTTTTTAAGTGTGTTGTATTATTATGATAGTTCGTTTAGGATCGACAAGTATGAGAGCAACAAAAGTTCATATTTAGTGAGCAATGTAAAGACTTAAATATAAATTGATATAGCATGTTGCCTTTAGTAGACAGTTTGTAATAGTTACGTTTAGACACGTAACTGTCATTTAAGTTAAAGCACGGTAAAATACGCCACTATATTGTGTAATATGATTCTCTTATGTTGATCCTCTATCATCAATATACCGCTGAATCATCATTAGCAGATCCAAAAAAATTCTCATGTACTTTTATTTATTTTCTCAGATATAAAATTATAGTTTACATTTAGCTAGATAAGACCTGGAAAGACCACAAAAGTGTAAAAAATAAAGTTTCCTAATGTATTCTTGAATAAATAGACACATAATTATATGATTAAAACAAAAAAGGGCATTTAAAAAATTATTATATTATGAATACCTTGTATATTGCATTATACCTAGAGTTGCTTAATTTTTAACACAATTGTCATTTTATAAAATAACAAGATTATGTTATTTAAAATAAATCCAATATTAGCCAATTTATTCTTATTTAGAAGTCTAAGGTTATCATCGTACCACAAATTTATAAAATATAATACTAAGAATTATCTACTAAAATTCCCATAATTATTATTTTATCGATAGGTCAAGTATTTAAAAGCATATATAAATACAGCTTGATTGAAAAGATCAAGTAAACTAAAAGTAGCTGTGATAGTGACGAGTTCCAAACTGCATTAAGATGAAGTGGATAGTGTTAACAGTTGTTGTACTTCTTGGTGAGTATTTCTCAGCGAAAAAGTTAAATTAGGGTATAAAAAAACGTTATTTTTTTGGTTTAAATAATTACTACCATAAAGTAAATTTTTATAATAAAACTGTACTAAATTTTCTTAATCAAATAATGGCATAAAGTCTCCACTCTTTTTAATCCATAAGTCTCACAACTGAAATCATATGCTTATTATGCATATATATATATATATATATATATATATATATATATATATATATATACATATATATATACATATATATATATATATATATATATATATATATATATATATATATATATATATATATATATATATTTACGGCATAAAGTGGAGTCCGCCCATGTTAAAATTCAGGTTTAAGTGAGCTCCGTGGTCAAGTGGACACCGATATACGGAGCTCACTTGACCATTCCCTAATATTGGTTCTGTCGATTCGTTAACATACAGAGGTTCATAATTTTTAAAAAAATTTTGGAGCCCATAAATACCCCTGTATCATAAATGTATATCGTGTAGTTCACGTGTATATATTATAGGGGTCGTTCAGGTCTTTTTCACTGTATATTTGAACAATTAGTTTATCGGTTTAAGTAAGCTCTGAGAGTTTGGCAACCGTGCGATTATAGCGTATATTTTCAAAGTTTACCCTGAACGGTTTATATGAGCTCCTTATTTTTATCTACTTTTTGTAGGCCGTGTAATGCCATACGCATTACACTATGTAATCAAGGATATCTTATTACCGGGTATTACTACGTGCTAATAGGTACAAGGTACAGGTTATTTAAAAAACAGGTATATAGATACAAAAGTACTTGGGCTTATTATTTAATGGAATGGTCACTTGCATAGAAAATTTTATTTTCTCTGCATTTTTAAAAATGTTATTTTTTTACTTAATATAGTTTTATTAGTTCAATGTTGAAGTCTACGTTTTTTTAATTGTAGAAGTTTCGTACTATTTATATTTTTTTTTACGTAACTTTGTCTTTGTACGTTTTATAGAAGCATCCCAATAATAAAAACTGTTTTTATTTCATCCAATGTTCTGCGATATCTTGTATAAAGTTTTTTTATTATTTTAGTTTTGGTCTTATTTGTACTACATAATATGATATCTTGATAGAAGGTTATCTCAAAATAAATATGGTTAAGTGATATAGATATATAATAGATATTTTTGTGTTAAAATGTGTAGTAGTGTGCACAAAAAGAAATAATGGTTAATTTGTAGGGCGAAAGGACGTTCGCCTCATTTTTAGCTGACAAATATTATTTCTGACCTCAATTTACCTTTTAGTTTTAAACAATGATCTGTGAATAATCACGTGCAATACAAGCTACTTTCAAGGAATTTATAGATAGTCTACAGTTCAACGATTTCATGACATTATTGGAGGTTTAGTTTTGTGAAAGCGTTTGTGTTAGGGAAGTTGAAGGAGCACATATGAGTTTTTCAGGCGTTTTGGCTGAAAATTGATTCATAGATTATTTTTATTGTGCAATAATAGGTGTATCGTCTGTATATTAGAAGTCCTAGTATCTATAGGTATGGGTTAATCGTTTGTTTATACAATGTAAGTGTCTTTATGCTATCCCAAGCGAGACCGTTCTTCATCTGCTATTCTTACCATCGAGTGATACGAAAAATATTCTATTGTGTAGGCATACACAGATAATTTTATCGTTTGTTATCTACGGGGATATCATATAGTTTTTGGAGAAATATCCTGATGACAAATACCACCCCTGATACTCGATATTTTTCGTACCCGTCTTTGCTCTCTTGAGTAAGATTTAGTATTTGTAAAGTACGCGATCTTCCTTATCTATAGCCACTTTCGTCTTATAATTTGACTTTTTTTTCTAATATCGGTGAAATCATATCATAGTCTCTTGTGCAAAAGTATTTTAAATAGCTGACAAAACAAAGATATTGGCCAATAGTTTTTGTGGTCGTTGGAGTTTTTGCCAGGTTTAAGCAAGGTAACAACTTTGGCTCGTCTCTAGACTTTGCGTATCTGCATAATTTGAATACAGTTGCTCATCATCCGGATAAGCCATTGTAGTGTTTTGGTCCAGATTTCGTAATTAACTGTGTGTTCAGGTCCTCAATGCCGGTAGTTGTATTATTTTTCATTTAATATGTAGATGGTGGATCCAATCAAGCTGACTGTTTTTGTCCTTTCTTATTTTAAGTTTTTCTTTGCTTCTTTTACGACAGAGATAGCAGATCTATATCTATAATACGGTTTTCAGCGATCAGCTTAACACCAAATATCCTAGGTTAGGCCCTATATGTGTTTCCTGCACTGGAAATACGCCAGATTCAAGTTTAGCGCATATGTCTGATAAGTTTAAGTAAAGTAAAGTTTCTTTATCTCTAGATATACCCTTAACATATATAGGCATATGTTATTAGAATCGTTGGAAGTAAAAAGAACAAATTTGACAAAATAAATAAGTTTGTGATATCGGTTGCAAATCATACATGTACAGATAGATAATAAGTAAGTATAGATAATAAGAAAATAAACAGCTAAAATAAGTGTAAAAAATTCCAACTACATACACCGGTGCCATTGTTTAAGTGATGGGTTTATCACAGATATCAAAGATTACATTTTAATTCAAGGTTCCATTTACATATTTTCAACATGAAAAGACATGTTTATGCTTTTATTTTTTTAAATCTATTATTTTCTCTTTCTTGCAGCTATTTCAATGTTCTTTATTAATTGTCTTGTTTCTGCAGTAGGAATATATGTGTACCATGATAGGTTGTTATTTTATTTATTGTAATTACTCTTTGCTTTTGCCAATTGCTTTCTTACTTCCTCAGCGATTGGTCTTTTTTTTCTCATCAATAACCTCATCCTCTCTCGATATAGCTATTCTAAGATATTTAGATTTCACTATATGCTCCTATCATTTGGTTTTTATCTCAAATTTGGACCTATGATGAAATTTTTATATCTTAAATCTAATGCTTTCATATTAAACTGGAATAAAATACTTAAATACTAGCCAAATTGACATTAATTTTATAGTTTCCATTTTATTAGTACTGATGGTACATGATTAGCATCTGTTGGTACTATATATCAATTTCAACACGTGCAAGTGGGAGCAATCTCCTGTTAGTAATTCCAGTGTCAATTATGACAAAACCCTTGATTGGATATTATAGGGTATCCAATATTTCAATCAACGGTATTTCAGAGTGATTTTTTTTTAATTTTTATATATATTTGCAAAATGGAGGAGGAAGTTCAGTACAGAGCCGGTTAAACAGCTAATCTGTCAATTTAGAAGTAAGAACAAGTACCAACTTGTTAAAAAGCACACCCATACACAAAAGGGATAATAAAATGTACTGCACAAACTGTAGTAGTATGAGTTACATATAAGCTATATATTAATAATTAGGATATACAGTATTTTTTCTAATACACCTGGAACGATTGAGTAAATAGGTGAACTATCAAACAGGAGACTATTAGTGTAGAATTAGAAAAACTTAAAAAATCGTTGATCAAATATTCTCTATTAGGCAGTTAATGAGAAATGGGAATACAGAAAAAACATTAAACCAGTTATTTATAGATTTTAAACAAACACATGATATAATTATAAGAATAAAACTATGAAATACCACGGCAGAACAAGGCTTACCTAAGAAATTAATTAATTTAACAAGGGTAAAGGACGAAAACTGGACAAAGTGCTTTAAAAAAGGCGAACGAATTAGCGTAACAGCTGTTTTAAAAACTAAACAATATGAGACGAATTGGGGATATTATATTACACAAACTAAACCGCTTGGATACAAAAAAATATCAGGAAATAATGATACGACAGAAAGACTAATGACTTTACAGCTAATTGCTACATAAATAGCAATGTAATGCAAATAGATGATTTTGTATATAAGACTAATAATATATTATAAATTATACCTATATAAATACAAATAGTAAAATAAAACTACAACTATTATACAATATAGTAAATACTTATTTAGATAAACGTAAAATGTTCCACTGAACGTTAACGATAAATGTTTCAAATAAAGGTTAAAACATGCTTTTCAATTCGCGGTAAAAGACTTAGTAGAGTTCAACACACAAGATAAATTCGTAACAAAATTGATTTATCAGTACACGGTACCCGATACAGCAGCAAATTAATTTTAACAACAAATATGTAGGTTGTACTTTATCCCATTGGAATCATAGCATCCGCTATGGAAATTGGTATCTTCTTTGACATACAGCAACCACATGTGAAATTACGAAAGATTAATGTTAAATTAGGAAAACTCAATTAACCGTTGATCAAATATTCACTCTTAATATACTTAATGAAAAATGTTGGGAATAAAAAAAACATTAAGCTAGTTATTTATAAATTTTAAACAAACATTTAAATATGATATAATTATAAGATTGTGAATAAAATGTTATGGAAGAACTAGGCATACCTAAGGAAATTAACTGCCAACTTACTTTTAAATGGACAGTAGCCTTAAACAAAAAGATGCCATGTCTCCAATCGTGTTTACCATTGTTTTGGAGAGCTCGCCCGGAAACTCTAATACCGAAAATCTCACAGTTTAATATCAAGGTCCTCACATTATACGGACTTTCGATGATGAGTTTAATATAGTAGGGAGTATAATCATTATTAACAAAAAACATTAATACATTCAATAGAAAAAAGCGCAAAAAAGGGTCTTCCAAATCAACGATGATAAAAAATATATGGCAAAAGACCATAATTTTGTAGTTCATAAGAGAACTATAAAACAGAATAGGACATAATATTTCATTAGACCAGTACAACTTTGAAATGGTTCATCGGTCTAAATATTTGGTATTTAAGAGCACTTTGAACAAAAACACTACAGAATAGGATAACAACAGAACACAAGCTGGCAGTTCCTACGTTTTAAGCAAAAAAATTAAATCCAAAATACATCCCGCAATACCAAAAATAAA